ATTATATTCCTGTTTACCGATTCGGTACGTACTTCCTGTACATCGTGATAATCTGTCAAATCTTATCCTGTTTTTTTCTTGTATTTAATCACAGGGCGGACCCATTGTACCTACTAATCCTTTTCTTTCCGTTGTATTTCCTAACAGGGCGGACCCATTGTAATTACCTCGATTCCATTGTATTTATCTATGAATAAACCTCGTTCCTATCGGTTTTTAACCTTAAAAATACCTGTCCGATTTATTTCCGATCCTTCCAAGCGATTACCTCACTGAGCGAACTAAGATCTTTTCCTCCTTTCCTCCCGACGGCCCTGGAGCTGAGTATATTCGGCAAATAGGAGGAACGGAGGATTTATCCTGCCGCCACACAGCACGTCAACACCGACCGCGAGTACGCCAACTCTTCCAACCGTTAGTCGGAACCGCGCGTCCGACTAACTCCCGTATTTATTCGCGTAATAAATAATAACCGCCGGAGTCCTGTCCGGAAACCAGAACCGGGAAGAGTTGAGCGCTACCGTTACAATATAATTTATAATATAAAATTTATTAATTTTTACTTACGGTTAATATAATTGGTACGGTTCCCGACATCGCCGCCGTGGCCATCGTGGCCATCGGAATCGTCGTCGCCGTTGTCGTTGTCGTCGCCATGGCCGTCGGGGTCGTTGCCGTCACCACGGCCGTCGGGGCCGTTGTCGTTGTCGTCGCCATCGTAGCCACCGTGACCACCGTGGCCGTTGTCGTTGTCGTTGTCGCCATCGTGGCCACCGTGGCCACCGTGGCCGTTGTCGTCGTCGCCACCGTGGCCACCGTGGCCACCGTGGCCGTTGTCGTCGTCGCCACCGTGGCCACCGTGGCCGTTGTCGTCGTCGTCACCGTGGCCACCGTAGCCGTCGTCGTCGCCGCCGTAATGACCGCCGTAGGTGTCGGGGCCGTTGTTGGCACAGTGGCCGCCGTGGCCGCTGTGACTGTTGGGTCATTATCTTGTACTGCAATAATTCAACATTAATAATACATAAACATATTATAAATAACATATACTACAATGACTGAAAATATGTATACTCACAACACTCGGCGCCTCTTCCTCTTCCTCTTCCAGGCAACGAATGATCATGATGCGCGAATTGCCGATCGCCGTAAACATTGGCGACACCAGGCGGCACATAGATCGGCAAATAGTTATATTGTACACGTGTTCCGTGGAACCGCGCTAAATTACACAATTATAATTACACTTATGTCTTTACTGTCTTTAGTCTTAATATTGTAGGAAATTTAAGTTGAAAAGCATTTATATATACAATATAATTAATATTATACAGAGTGTTAAATTTCAAACGTAACAGGTGGAATATTTCTTAAATAATGCATTTAAAAAAAGGTTTCCTACAAAAGTTGTAAGGTTTCAGAGGGAACATAATATAATAATATTCGTATAATCTTGGGCGACGTCTCCAAAGTCACGTGGAGGTGAGAACGAATTTAAAAAATGGAAACCTATATTTTTTATTATACCATCTTTTTTTACTAATTCATTTGAACAACTTTTATCTGAAACATTTTTTATTTACTTAATATTTTTAAAAATATTCAATAAATACTTGGTAACTCTTTCAACATTCAGTTTACGATATTGAAAATTAAATGAAGAAACGAAAGGACTCAGAAAAGAAAAATAAAATAATGAAGTAAATATTTTATTAATAAATTAATAATTCTTTATATAAAAATAAAAGAATTTTTACAAAAAGAATTTGTAGTGAACGAAGTGAACCAAATCCTTTCTATTTAAATAAAAAGGATTTGGTTCACTTCGTTACCTCTTCGTTACTTCTCCTACAAATTCTTTTTGTAAATTATTTTATTTTTATAAGAAGATTTATTAATTTATTAATAAAATATTTACTTCATTATTTTATTTTTTCTTTTCTGAGTCCTTTCGTTCCTTCATTTAATCTTCAATATCGTAAACTGAATGTTGAAAGTGTTACGTCCTGTGGACTCCACGATTTCTCTCTTTCAAAAACCATAAGAAATATGTTTTTCTTCCCTTGGAAACTACAATTTTAGAAATCAGCGGATATCGACTAGCCAACGCACGAGTCCCTTCCCCACAAAAAATTGATTGCCAGAGTTTCACTTTTCGAAACTCGAAACGTAAAGTGCTTCGATTGTTGCTGGTCGATAGCCGTTGTTATAATAAAAAGGGGAGAAATAACAGACAGGATGGGATCAGGTTCCTTCAGACGGCAGTTTCGAAATTCAGATTTCCAAAATATTATACTTAAGTACGATCCGAGACACTAAAACGGGATTCTAAAAAAGACATGTTGACCAAAAACTTGACCCAAAAGTGAAACTCGGGATTTTTCGAAAGTCGCTGAAGGAAATGATGCCCATAAATAAATATCAAAGGGCGACAACGACTTAATGGTCGGGTTGCCAATAAGAAAGACAACTCCTTGACACCTCCAAATAGTCCACCAATGAAGAACCAAAATCCAAAATCTCCTTCCACGTCCCATGACCAAGATCCACCCCCGAAAAATTGTATATAAACTAGGAGCCTGATGGCTCAGCCTCTTTGGCAGCTCCCGATTCCACCAGTGCAGTTCTCTCCGCGATTCTCCAAGTTCCGAGTTAACACTATTCTTTTATATCAAGTTTATCCAGTCCAAGTAAAATCTGTGCGCGGTTTCGGCCGACGGACTGCGAACCTGACCCACCCGCCTTCACGAATTTAACCGGAGAATCCACCAGCTCTTTTCGACGAAGTAGTAAGTCACATGTTTTCTTTTTCTTTCATTTTCTCTTCGGCTCGACGACCTCCGTTCTAAGTTTAATATCTTAATCTCTTGTAGTAAGCTACCACTTATCCGATTGTAGCATCATATGCGTTAATTATACGAGTACATTACCATGATTTAAAATAAATTAAGAGAACATTAAATAATTGGGTAATTGTTCACTATAGGGGAGTCAGCTCCGATGACCTTGACCTTGACATATGTTGTCAAGGTTACCCTCCTGAGTAACGCTCAGAAGGTTTTAGCCGTCGCTCGTTGTTTGTTAAAAAGTTATTAAAAAAACAATGTCGACCATTTATATGTAATTTTCAGACACAAATATTAAAAATTTTGAAAAATGTTTTAAACAAAAGTTGTAGATCTCTTTAAAATATATATTTTATGTCCTAGTCATTTTTACTCTACGAGTGATAGTTTTCGAGAAAAATGATGGACTCTAAATCTTATATCTGTCCTTTCATCTAAGCATGTGCTTTGTAGTACATATACGATTCCATATGGATTTGCGACTTTTCACGTGAGGCGAGATCCACTCCACACCTCGGACGTAGTTTGCGTTAGGTTATATCTTAACAAAATGGAGCCCCCCGCAGGGGGGGGCGGAACATACTGTCTCCACGCATGTACTTCCGCCGTTGTACTGTTCCACATGGGTTTGCAACTTTCCACGTGAAGCGAGATCCACTCCACACCTCTGACATAGGGTGGGTAGGGTTATTTTTAACGAAGTGGAGCCCCCCCGAAGGGGGGGCGGAACACACTGTCTTCACGCATACATTTTTCCATCTACATTTGGTAGAGGGGAGTGACTTATATGACATTTTCCGCGAAGGACTTTACATAATAAAAAAAACGTACTTTATCTGACAATGAATCTAGTACTATAAGAAAAAAACAATTGTACTTACATCTTGCATAAGTTTTGCAACGAGTAAGACAGTCTTTCAACTCATATTATATCATTGGTGTGTGTCATTTTTACAGTATTAAGTATATTGTCTACGTTGCTAGGCGCGCGGGGAGTTGTTTTGTTATTTTGTTATGTGTAGACGTTGCCGATTGTAAATAAACTTCCCGCACGCTTAGCAACGTTGTCGATCACGGGCCGGCCGCATCTCATTGCGCGCTTGTATTAGGCGGTAGGCCGGACTAATACAGCTATTTTTAATAATTAATAATTCTTTAACTATCGCAAAAATTGCAAAATGCTACGTGACTTTTCTTCTCCATTTGATCCAATCTTTATCATAATTTTTGGTTTGGTCATAAACGAATCTGACACCCTGTATACATTAACGGAAACTAACTTGGTTAACAAGTGTTTTCATATATTATAATTATCTCATTAAGATGTGAAGGCAATTATATGTGATAAATCCATGTTAGTATGTATATTAATGTTCAACGTATGATGTTTAAACTGAGAAAAAATTATGCTAATTTAATATGTGCGTCGATAAAAGTAAAATATATATTGTGGGAATAAGGAAAATACCCACACAGCACATGATATCATTCGAATATTCTGTAATCATACTGAACGTTCTGTGATAATACAGGATAAACTAAGAACATTCGAATAATATCTTAGTAGTACGTTATTTCTCGTATGTGCATGGGATATACGCGGAATATAGACATGTGCCTGATCCGGTACGCCTGATTCCCTCCTGAATAGATAGCACTAGTACCACATACTACCGCGACGTGGCGACCGCGCGTTAGTCTTTCTCGTAAGTAAAAATCGTCCCGTATTAGTATAAAAGGCGAGCCGATAGGTTGCGAGAGCGAGTTGTCTGGTTCATGGCTAAACCTCAATAATCTAAATATACTTTGGTAATTGTGCATAAAAGCGACTTCCTCTCCGATTCGCTTGATTTTTAAAAATGTTGTTGGGGATGTCTTCCCGAGTCATTTCATACATATATATAAGGGCCGGACTCAAATAGTTTCGGAGATACAGGCTGAGAAAGGATACAAATAATAAATACACCTAACTCGTACTTCCGCCGTTGTACTGTTCCACATGGGTTTGCAACTTTCCACGTGAAGCGAGATCCACTCCACACCTGTGACATAGGGTGGGTAGGGTTATTTTTAACGAAGTGGAGCCCCCCCCCCCCGAAGGGGGGCGGAACACACTGTCTTCACGCATATATTTTTCCATCTACATTTGGTGGAGAGGAGTGACTTATACATGTATGTAGGTAGAAAAATGTATGCGTGGAGACAGTATGTTCCGCCCCCCTTTCGGGGGGGCTTCACCTCGTTAAAAATAACCCTACCCACCCTAT